GCACGCACGCACGCTCGCACGCACGCACGCTCGCACGCACGCACGCTCGCACGCACGCAGGCACGCTCGCACGCGCGCACACACGCACGCACGCACGCACGCACGCACGCACGCACGCACGCAGGCACGCTGGCACGCACGCACACACGCACGCACGCACGCCCGCGTGTATCTGCGCACATTTACGCGGGCGCGAAATTTATATAGTGCTGTTTGTGATGGTATATGCGATCCTTTTTTAATATTCACATTGTCACATTCGCAGTCGTGGCAACACCGATAGAGTTTAAGTTATGTAGATCGAGTTAAATTTATATAGCATGTGCATGATGCATAATTAGCTACATTTATATACATCCATCGTCACTAATTAACACCAGGCACGTCATTATGCGCATGTATACACTAACATAGATACAGTAAAACATAATAAAAATGGTAAATAACTGATAGTTATAATTAATAAGAATTAAATAATATAATTTAAAAAAATAAAAAATAATAATAACTGAATAAAAAATAGTAAATAATAAATAATAATAAACAAAATGAAGAAAATAGCAACACGGGATTCTAACGGGAAGTGTTCCAGACTCACTGACTTCCGCCGGAATACACGTCGAAATCCCGGAAGTGGATCTTGACTCGCTCTCCCGGCTGCCCCATGAACCGGAACGTGCAGTTGAGGTTGATGGGATACGACCCGGGATAGGTGGGAGACATGAATTGTCCCCGCGAGACGTGGTTCGAGTATATCGTATAGTCGCATGTTGAGCCTTGACTCTGTACTCCGGTGACGTAGATATCTGGCGGGGAAACACAGAGAGAGAGAGAGTAGGTAGAGAGACGCATGTAGAAAGAGCGGAAAAAGAGAGAAAGTGAAAGAGAGAGAGAGAGAGATGAGAGAGACAGAGATGAAAGAGAGAGTGAGAGAGAGAGAGCGAGAACGAGAAGAAGAGAGAAAGAGAGAGAGAGGGAATGAGAGAACGAGAGAGCGAACGAGAGAGAGAGACAGACAGAGAGAGAGAGAGAGAGAGAGAGAGAGAGACAGACAGAAAGAGAGAAAGAGAGAGAGAAAGAGAGAGAGAGAAAGAGAGAGAGAGAGAAAGCTAGAACGACGAAAGAAAGAATGAGAGATAGTTATAAATAATAAACATAAAAATAAAAATATAAATGGATAGAAATAGGGAGAGAGAGACAGGAGGACAGCGCGCAGAAGCGAGCGGGTGAACAACACAGAGATGCAAGGGCGATACAGACACGCGCACACACACACGCGCACGCACGCACGCACACACGCATGCACGCACGCGCGCACGCACGCGCGCACGCACGCGCACGCACGCACANGACGACGACGATGGAGGCGGTGACGACGACGACGATGGAGGCGGTGATGATGATGATGATGATGGAGGCAGTGACGACGACGACGATGGAGGCGGTGATGATGATGATGATGATGGAGGCAGTGACGACGGCGACGACGACGACGACGGAGGCGGTGACGGCAGCGACGACGACGACGACGACGACGGCGGCGATGGCAGCAGCAGTGGCAGCGCAGACGGTGATGAAATCATCGGTGACGCACGGCAATGGCAAACAATGGATGTAATTAGATTAGATTGATAATAGATTTAATCCATTTAGAATATTACCTGATTTAAATAAAATAGATTGACAATAACAATAACAATCACGTTTAACTTGAATTAACAACAGGATCAATTAGATCTGTGTAAACAATATAGGTTTAACTTATAACGGATTAACAACAGGATCAATTAGATCTGTGTAAACAATA